CTGTTAGCAGCTATTCCACAGCTAGAAAGAAAATTCATCCCATCTCAGGCACTGAGCAGAGGCCACTTGCAAAGCTTAAACCTTCTTTGCTAGGTCACATAATTGCATCCCTGTGATGGGAACTGACAGCTCTCTGCAGAGCTGCGCATGGGAGAAGGACAGCAGAGCCTGTCTGGCAATTCCCAATTTCATGCAGCTTTGAGATGCTTGGGTCTAAACTATGCTTCCTTCTCTTCTGTACTTCCCAAAGCACCAAAGCTGGGATTGGAGCTCCCCCTGTCCCTGGAAGCACCAGCAGATGCTGTGTGGGGAGTTCCTCGGCTGAGTTTGTGTGCAAACACCATGCAACTCCCCATTGATGGTGGCAGTCCAAATCCCTGGCTAATTAAGATCTATAAATGAGGCTGCCATATGTAATTTAAAAAATAGATAGACTATAGTATAACTACGCATGCATATAGACTGAATATAGCACTTGCCAAGAGAAAAAAAAAAGAGAGATAATTACAGTGAATTTGGATAGCAACTGATTTTATTTTTTTTCCATTGAATTAAGGAAAATGAGTATGCAAACATATATGAAGGCGTGTATTTTTACTGCTTTTACAGCCAAGGTGAAAAATCTATCTTTCTGGCCTTGGATGTACTGGTAAGAGGCTGCTCATGAGGCTGCCATTGCTGGCAGGCCGTAAGATCTTCACATGATGGCAGCCTCAGCCCTCTGCCTGTGGCCTGCTGCAGGGAAGGGTTGTTTTCTTCACCCTGCTGCAGCCATGAGAGGTTCCAGAGCACACTCTGGTGATCAAACCTCTTGCTGGGAATGGTTTCTTGCCCGTCACCCTGCTCAGGTGCAACACCCATCGTTATTATCCCCATCCCTTTGGGTATCGCAGCATTATATCCTCTGGAAAAAATCTGGAGGATTTTGTTTTTTAATCACTACACAGACACAATTACTGCCCAGCCGTGCTGTTTTAGGTGAGTTACTTGTGAAAGGTGCTTGGAAGACAAGATGTTGAGATCTTTGCTTCCATTATCTTTTCCCTGAGCCATTCCTCATGGCATTTGTGAACATAGACCCCATTCACTTGTTAAGAACATAGCACTTCTCACCTCACAGTCCCATGCTATGCAACAGCCAAAAGTTAGAGCTAAGGTGCTGCTTACTCAAATTCTGGAAATTTCCCAGATTATGGGAATCACAGAATCACAGAATTGTAGGGGTTGGAAGGGACCTCCAGAGATCATCGAGTCCAACCCCCCTGCCAAAGTGCAGGTTCTCTACAGCACAGGTAGGCACAGGTAGGTGTTTTCTTCTTGAACCTTATTTCCCTTTGTTCAGTTGAGTTGGCTCTGTCTGGGCATTGCTGCAGCTCTCACAATAAGAAGCTGACGTTTCGGTGTATTGCCTCACAAACAACAATCCTGGTGCAGAAGCAGTGAAGAGTTTCTAATTCAGCCTTTCAGTGCCTTATCCTTGTCAGGCATGGCTAACGTAATTAGCAATGGAAAGTCATGCAAAAAATAATCCTGAGTCTTCCTTGATCTTCACACAGAGCGCAATGCAGCAATTGCCATCACCTTGGTGTTTCAGGAGCAAGATGCTCTGACCAACATCTGGGCTCAGTGCTGAGCAAAGGACCTGTGCTGTGCTGTGCAATGTGCATCCATTCTGGTGGGCACAGATTTGGAAACCTCAGCATGTGAGTAGCGTTAGCAAAGCAGCAGAGAGATACATGAGCTTCTTGCTCTGCTCCTGGAGCTGCATCAGGATTTGAATACCACTGCTAGCACGGGGCCAGCAGACATGGTCCATGGGAAGTCCATGCTGTATAAACAGGTGGAAAGTGACCATTTGAGTCAGGCCCTAGCCTAGAGGTGTGAAGGGAACTCTTTTCCTTAGCTGCAGCAAGGTGTGCTGATGCTCCAGGTCTGTCCATGCTTATTGCACTTTATTTCACTTGCATGCTTCAGATGTGGGCAATTTTGTCCAAGTACTCTGCTTTTTGGGTGCTGTCAGTCTTGGGGTTTGCCTAAAACAAGTGTGGAAGGGGGGGAAGACATTATTTCTGCAGCTCTGAAGGGTTATTTCTTCTATCACTGAGGATGCCACGTTACTGTATTGCCTTTCTGAGGTCTTTAACACAGCAATAAAAGAGCTGTTAAGATGTTTTTAAATCAGTAAGTGTAATAAAAAACCAAACAAATTACAAAACCTGCCCTCTGGTGGCAGCTCCAGCATCCCAGGCCATGTCCTGTTGGTCTTGTGCCCGCATGCCTGATGGGATGCACATGCATGAGGGAATTTTAATTTCCTTTCTCTCTTAACCTGAATGATTTTGTAGAAATCTGCAAATAATTGTTTAAGCAATCAAATCATATAAATTACAGGGTGATGCTCGAAGTGAAACGGCGTTCTGTGGGAGTATATCAGTGTTGGTGGTGCTTTCACTGCTAGGGACGGAGGTTTGGTGTGATCCGGGAGACATGGCACCCAGCAGCTCCTGCCTGACCTGGTGTGAGCTGGTAAGAGCTGCCCTTGCCTCATGCTGGGTGCCCTAAAAGCTTCATCCACCTCCAGGCTCTGCCCAACAACGAACAGAGCATGAAGGGGAATGCAGGACTCAGCAAAGAAGGGAGACAGAGTTTGTGTTTTTGATGTTGTGTTGTTGTGTTTGTGACGTGCCAGCAGTGGGTGTGATGAGCTGCAGCCACACTGAGCTGCTGAGGAAATGGGAAGCAACAGGGATGGCAAAGAGTCTCACACAGTGTTTTAAACAGACATGCTGTTGGAAAGGTCTTGTGTTGATTATTTATTTTTAATCACTTTTTCCCCATTTATCCTGTGACGGAATGTACAACTGAGATCCGTATATGTTTCCAGCTTCATTCCACTTTACTCTTGTAGTGGAATCTGTAAGTGTGTCCCTTTGGCCCTGATTTAAGAACAGAGCAGACAACAACAACAACAACAGCAACAAAATAAAAATTTAAAAAAAAAAAAAAAAAAAAAAAAAAAGGAGGGAGAAAAGAGACTCGGAATGAAGACTGAGCTGTGCCATTTTACCCAGCACCTTTGCAAACACTGTGGGTTTCTGACACCAGTAGAGGAATGTAGAAAACAATTGATTCCATTCTCTGTTAATAATACATTTTTTTCCAATCTACACTATCTGCTGAATTTATAGAAATGTAAGCAAAAGAAAGAAAAAGGCAGCCTTGTTTCCCTAACATCTACTGAACTTCTGTTGCTTGTGTTGTGTTTTGTTTTTTTCACTTTAGGGGCACAAAGCTTTTCTCCGGCTATGGGCAGAGCACCAGCTGTCCTGCAGGTACGTGTTCTTACTAATGGCTGATGCTGGTGGGAGGGTACAGGGGCTGGGTGCCTGTCTCTTCCTCTTCTTCCTCAGCTTCACCCCTGTCCATGCTGACAGGGCACCAGCAGCCCCCCTAAACCATCTCTGCTGTAAAAGCAGGAGACCTCTCCCAGGTGCAGCTCTTCCTGACTTTGGTGCCACTGGCTGCCCAGGGAGGTGGCAGAGTCACTGTCCCTGGAGGTGTAACATGGAGATGTGGCACTGAGTGACACAGCCAGTGGGCATGGTGGGGGTGGGTTAGGGTTGGACTAGGTGATCTTGGTGGTCTTTTCCAACCTTAACGATTCTATGATTCTAAAGCCAGCAAAGCCAGGCTGGTGCACCACAGAGCATGGACCACAGCCACGAGACCTCTGATGAAGCCTTCACATTAATGAGAATGAAGGGAGGCGAGAAGCACATTCTGCAGCAAACGCCGTGTTAACGATGTACGTGAGCGTGTGAAGTGGGCAGTGGGGAGATGTGCAAACAACTGCGACAAACCCCTTCGCTGGTGTAATCTGATCAAGAGCAGGCAATGGAGCGTGACAGGGTTGTTATGACCCTTATTTTTTTGAAGTATTACGGGCTTTCTTTTTCTGTTTTTAGGTGAGAGCTCCTAGAGATGTGATGAATAAGGACGGACTCGGCTCCTTCTCACAGGTGAGCAACTGGAAAGGCAGTGACAGGCTGTACCCACGCACTCACGGCACCGCTGGCACAAAGGTCCCGAGTGCTGCTCCCGGCTCCCATTTAAATAATTGGAAAAATAATGCTCCAAAATAACAGAGCGAGTGGTCCTCCCCATTGTGAGCTCAACATTGGGCCACGCTACTGCATGATCGGGACAAAGAGACTATGATACAGGCTGGTTTCTATGGCAACAGAGGAGGGGTAGCTAAAACAGAAATGTTGCAAACACGGGCGCTGCTCACCGCACCGCTGCGCAGGGTACAGCTGCCTGCAAAGCGTCCGGATGCCTCCACCTTTCGGCTCGCGGAGTTCTGACATGCACAGACATGGCAATGTGTTCTCCGTTTAGCTGCAAAGAGAAAGGGAACACCATACACGGCCCCCCGTTTTCTGTGTGTAAAATCTGTGCGTTCTTTAAAAGGCAGTGGTTGGCTGGTTTTCCGGACATGATGTGGTTGAAGCTGTCATCGTAATGGAAATTCATTGCTGTAGCTATGGTAAATCGAGTTTTCTGCCTGTGCTGAATGCATTAGTCTAATGAGATGTTTGCAGCTGGAGAGCGGAGCCGCTGGAGGCTCGCATGGTGCTAGGAGGCAGGAGAAGATGGCTTGTGCTGGGCTCTGTGTGCATGTGCTGAAAGTCCTGTGCCCAGCGGCTCCAGACGCCCAGGCACTCTAAAGGCACTGCCCAGGCTTCTAACAGAGGCGATAGGTAAGGGGAAAGCATGCTTTTTCTTCTTATTTTTTTCTCTGCCTGATTCCTGCTGTTGAGCCCGGTTTGAGCAGTTTCCGTTCTGCTTGCACGCGCATTAACTTCGCAGCTCCTCAGTGGAGCCTGTGGGAGGTGTCAGGTGCCGACGTCCTGGTGCCCGTCCCATCTTCAGAGCAGATGCAGAGACTAATTGTCCCTTGTTCCTGCAACTAAAGGAAGCGATTCTGTTGGTGTGCCAGCTTGTCCCCAAATACCAAGGAGCACATCTCAGCAGTGCTGTTTGTGCTCATCTTCCAGGTGCTTCCAGGACAAACTGGGGAAGGACCCTGCGCCAGGAGGAGATGCACACACGACCTGTCAGTCCTGTCAGCTGCTGTCCGGCCCACAGCCCGTGCCTCGTCTGCCACTGGTGAAGGCCAGCACAGGTCCGTGAGTAACCCCGCAGTGGGCTGATGGCAGTGGTCTGTCAGATGGGACTGGTTGGGTGCATACAGGGCTTGTTTGGGTATGGGCAGGGCACCCAGCAATCTATGGGGGAAAGTTTAAATTCTCTGCATGAGGGGGGGGCTTCTGTTTAGTGCTGATTTTCTTTTAAGAGGCTTCTGGAGGTGTTTTGCTCAAGGATAGACCAAGGGCTTTTAGAATTAGGCACAGTGAGGGGCTAAATAGCCAGAAACTGTAGGAATGGTGTCATTTGTGGGTGTGGGGATGCAGACTAAAAAGTGTCTTTGTGCCACTTTGCACTCTGTGCAAGCAGTTCTTGCAGCCCCCTGTCCCTGCGCGCTACCAATCACATCTAGCTGCATGCAGCCAGGGTTGGGGTTGGTCAGCACGGTCCCTGTGTGATGCTGGGGGACAGGCGGGGAGATGAAAACGTGTGTCATGGGGCCAGGTGCTGGTCAAGGGCTCCGGCCCTGCAGGCTGCAGTGACTACTCACTTTAAGCTGCCACAGCAATTTTCCCAGCGAGGCAGAATCCCTCTGCTCCATCTTAAAAGTTACTTGGTTGGTGCATATGCTGCTCAGGTCAGAGAGGTGCCAGGGGAATGCTGGCATGGGATTGTGGAAGTGTGGCAAGACAAAGAGCTATCAGTCATACCTGAAGTTGATATGCTGCACCAGGTCAGAAACACTGCAGCACTGATAAATGCTTTGTTGATATCACATGTAATTGAGACAGTGATCAATTCATTTAGATATGCTTAACTTGAACACTTTCAAACTTTTTGTGGAAAAGAGCAGGCAGGAAGAGGCAGCTTTCTTCCTAGGACAAGGACTGCCATGCCCTGAGGTTCCTCACCTGCCTCTGGTACCTCACGAGAAGAAAAGTGCAGCAGGACTTTTCCCCAGTCCTTTCCTTAGCATTGTGTTACCACAAAAAGTATCTTTTGAAATACTATTTTAACAGTGAAACAACTACAGAGCACCTCATCACAGTACACAATTGACAGTCCAAGCTTCTGCAGGCTGAGGTGTGACCTTACACTGGTCTCTCTCAAACATCTATCTTCCTTCTTCCAGATTTAAAGGAGAAGCCCTGACAGCAGGGGGTTTTAGATCACTTTAACAAAGTATGTTTTAGGGTGCAACAGTGTTCTTTGAAGAGAAAAACACAATGGTGAGGAGAAGTACCCCAGTTCCCTGAAATCCTGCCCTACTTCTCTTCCTACAGCTTAAAAATGGTGCAAAGGAGGAGTCAGCTGAATTTACAAAGAGCGCTCCCAGCTGAGCTCTCCCTCTGACCATTAGGGTGGCAAAGCACTTCACAGGTGGTGGTCACCACAGGTCTACCAGCAGAGTGAATGAGCAGTTATTGGTTTACTCCTGAAGATAAAGATACTCCAGCCTCCTCTGAAAGAGAACAATGAATGGCGTGCATTAGTTGTGTAGTAGCAAGTTGCACCACGAGGAATTGTTTTTCTGTGAACGAGAAGAAAATTTTCTCCTTGTTGCACTGTGTCATAAGAATGCTTATTGGAAACTGTGTGTCTATGTGTTAGGGGGCTATATACTGCTCTGTGAAACAGAATCACAATGACTGGGTGCACTGAAGGCAGTGTCTGTTGATTCATGAAATGAAAATAACCTACAATCTAGGAAGCATCTTTTCACCAAGTTTTCTTATTGATGGGAATGAAAAGACTGACACACACACACAAAAAAAAGTAATATGCAGGGAAGCTAGGGTTAAATTCTACTAATTAAAGATGCAAAGTTCTGATATTTCACTTCTGTAATAAAACCTTACAAAGATGATGAAACTGTAAGTCGTTCATTAAGATTGACTGCTCCCTTTAGGAACTAGTGTAAATTTGGCCAGAATAAAGAATTGCCCAGAGACAGTCTGGATGTGTAATTATGCTACGCTGAAGGATGAATAATTCCTCTTGAACTGAGCAGTTTGCTGCTGCCCTGCAGTTTATCCTGACCCCATCTTCAGAGGTGATTCCCATCCTACGGGAAAAATGCTGCTATAAATGCCAGCCCTTTGCTCTCTGACTGTTCAGTTTGCTGTGTTCGTTTGGGGCACAAGATGTCAAGGACAGGATTTGCTTTCCATCCCTCTTTCATCCTCATCTCCACCTCACCCTCACATTTCCCACTACGTTTCCCTCTGTCACAACTCCACAGGGCAAGGAGATAGTCCCTGATTTCCTGCTCCCCTCACCTAACGTGTATGTGATGGATAGGCAGTTCTGTAAATTGGAATGTCCTGGCAATGCAGATCCCCAGAGGTAAACACCTCCCCGACACCCCTCTGAAGAAGCAGGCCAGCTGGAGGTAGCTGGCTGAGGATACCATGCTGATGTGCGTTGGCCCACCCTAGATAGCTGGAAAGTCATGTCCACACAACACAGAAGTCCTTGATGGTATTAAAGCCCTTAGCAGCATTGGCTTAAATTCTAGACCAAGACCTCATCTTGCACCAGATTTATTGAGACTTGTGATCATTGCTATCCCAAGAGCCTCCAGCTAGTGTTGAGGCATATAAACCCACTGCTGGAGGGAATGTGCCACTCAAATGCTTCACATAAAGCCCAGCAATCTAGAAATCAATCCAGATTTATCTGTCTAAAAACCAAACTGTGCTAGACAGTGATCTCTAGGTGGCCTGACCCTCTGACATCAACCATGAGCCTCAGTGGCTGCTCTGGTGCCATATTACCAATGTTCTCACCACTGTGCCCTCCAGCTTGTACAGACACACCAGCCTGGAGCCCACAACAGGGACAGTGAAGGACTTTAAGCTTGCAGGGATTTCTAGGGAAAAGACCCATAGCTTTCACTAGGAATGCAGCCCAGCAGGGAACAGTGATCCTCAGGGGGTGGCAGACACGCAGTAAAGACAGAGCGAAAATAAATCGGGGAGAAGATGTTGCAAAAAAACTGCTAGTGACCATTATTTATGTACACGCAGGAGCTCAGTATCCTTCCCCATTACCTTAGAAAAATGTTTATAGTGTTTATCTCCTGATTTCATCCGGCAGCATCCATCTATTTCTGCATAAACGATGAATGAGAGATTTGCCTAGTAACTGTCTCTTATGGCTCAGTAAATACTTGAATTTATTTGCATATCAAGCCAGCCGTGCTTATACTGCGCTCACTAAATGCAGCACCACAAAACACTACGCAGGGGAGGCTAGCTGGCCATTAACATGCTTAGATTTTATGTGAATGACTCCCTTCAACATTAATGGAAGTTATCTAAACAAATTGCCTTCCTATGAGGGAATAGAACATAACGTATCTAAATACTTATTATTCACTCTAGTTCAGTCATTCAAAGGGGTACCCAGCAAAGCAACGTAAAGCACCACTCTGGTGCTGGTGCTCAGTTTTCCCTGCAGCGTGGGGAGGGAGGTCACAGCGTCCAGCAGGCCACAGGGGAATCTCACCCCATCCCACAGCCCTCCTCAACTGCTGACATACAGCTGGTGCAGCCAGCCTGCTTTGGGGTGAGAGTTATGTTGTTACCCATCTGTCACCGCATCCTCAGTGGCTATGCCAAGCAGATAGTTGCTTTATTTATTTGCAAAATCCGGGCTCCAGAGCCTCTGTGTTTATGGCTTCCTACCAACATGAAGGTGAAGCCTGGTGGTTTTGACTGAGTTTCACAGTGAGTATTGGAGAGAGTCCACAATACTAAAAGCAAAAGTCCACAAACCCCAGTGAGGTGAAGTCATACCATGCCTCAAAGTCATGTTTTTTTACATGAATTTGACCTTTCTGCTTCTCCTGCTACCCAGGGTGAGCAACTTTCATTCCATATCAGCCAGTGGGGCAGAGTGGGTCCAGCCATATGTAGCCATCTACATGCATGGGTTGCCCTCTCTTTCTGAGGGACCCTCACCACACTCGTTCCCTTGCTCCATGCAGTGACTGGAAAGCAAACTCTGAGGACAAGCCTTGAAATTCAGAGATATTTTCATTAACAGATGATGAATTCATGCTATCACAGGTGTTTCAGAACTTATATTAAATCTACCTGCTATGGTTGCCACAGGTGATTTTTAATTAAATGAGGTTATTAAACAGGGAGACAATATTGCAAAAAAATATTATTGATCTCATGTCCTCAGCCATTATTTGTACACCATCACTGTGTCAGGCTGTTGACAAAGGAGACTGATGCTGAGTCAGCAAAGAAATGAGGTTGCTTGTCATTGTTGGAAAGAAAGGTCTGCTCAGGTGAGGCCCATCAGCTTGGTACTGTATCTCTGACCTGCTGAGAGCTCCTAGGGTAATACGGTGTCACAGGAAGCTGACACCGGTATTTCAGTCAGTGCCCTGGTAGCAGGAGAGGCTGCTGAACTGTCGTGGTTCATAAATGTGAATTATTCCCTTATCTTCTTCCTGTACCTGCCAGCCTGGGGGAGAAGCAGGGCCCTCGGGCTGAGAGCAGCTTGCTGGCTCCTACCCAGAGGGCAAAAGTAACATTTTGCTGCTGCTTAGCCCCAAAGTTCAGATAACTGATGAGGTTTTGTTTTTCATTTGGTTCACCCCCCCCCCCCCCCCCTCCTCCCCTCTTCCTGAATTCCTACCAGCACTGGCCCTATTTTAAACAAACGTGAGCTGGGGCAGAGCATAGCTATCCTATGCTTTGATGCAACTACCGCTCAAGCCAGCCCTAGGCTGCTGTGTGGGGACCTTGGTGTCATCTGTGTTCCCAACACCTCCACAGGAAAGGGAAGAACGCTCCTGTGCCTCCAGGGAGAAAAAAGAAAGATTGTCTGGGTACAAGGTCTGGAAGATGGCAAGAAGGAGCATTCCCTGCTGAAAAAAATGGGGAAAAGCAGGATGAACCAAAGCTTCTTGTTGAGTCATTACAGTGAATTTGGAAGTGAGCTGTTCTTCTAAACTCATTCCTATGCAATCTTGCACAGTCCCATGTGACAGGAATCTCCTACAGCCACCAGACATGT